ACATGCACGATTGGTCAGTACATGTGTGCTGCATTAAATGATTTTTTTTTCTTACTAAAAAAATGGCAGAAGAATATGTTTCCCAGACAGATAGTTTATAATCTTAATAGTATTTAATGCTATTCCAAAACAACTTTATCAAACTGAGAAACTATGAGCACATGCAGCACACGTTACATGCCCCGTGCATGCCTGCTCTTTAGTGCAAGTGCAAGTATTCAAACTTATTGTGTTTAAAGTAATGCATGCAGTATAGTTACTACAAGAGGTGGGACCTTGTTTTTAACTGCAAATTATGTCCTTAAAATTAAACCATATCAATGTCTGTTTTATCCAATAAGAAAAGGTTATCAAATCCCTTCAGAATTTTTTGTTATGTCATTTTCGTTGCAAAATTACTGTCAAGCACACCAAGACTGTCATTTAAACCTGCCATAGATGTTGCCCTAAGACAGAGTCAGACTGCAATCAGTCTGCAACTGAATGCCAATTAAAGGTTGGCAATTACATTCAATCCATTTTTTATTATCCAGCAATTAACTGTAATAAATCATCAAAATTGCATATCTTTCTTTATAGACAGAAATTCACATTTAATTAGTACACCTGTGCTCAGCAGAACAGGATGGTTATCCTGTTCTATATGAATATAACCAGTAAACAACCAACTGACAACCAATTGAGTCGAGTTTCCTTGAGTTGTGTTCCCTGACAAAAACTCATTCAGACCGATGGCAACATGTTGGCATCAGAGAGATGAGACCTTGTGTTCATAGTATTTTTAATTTATTTAAGAAAATATTAATATTTAGTGTATAATACTGAAAAATATGCCAATACTATACTGTGTCATCTTTATAGTTACTAAATCCAATTTAGTAATACTGCCACCACCGCTTTTATGGACACATGACCAGAGTGCAAGGATGAAGTCGACAAGTTCAGGCGCAGTGTCATCGCTGCAAAGAAGTGCATATCTGAAAGAGCCTAATGTGTCTCCAGGGAGATAATGCCTAAATTGACTGGGATCATCTCTTGAAAAAGAAACAAAAATCTGCAGAACAGTGTGTAATCATGCGTACAGCCTGAAAGAAACACCCAGTTGTCATTTAAGAAAATATACGACCATTTAAAAGGCTGAACTTCTCAGAGAAATGAATGTTATTCATGTGAAAAATATGGCAGGCCTGCTTTTCCAGTTCAATAAACACAATAGACTGCTAATGATAATGCAAATTGAAAATGTCAGAAGGTATACAAAATGCTGAAAGGAGTTCTCTGCAGCTTTGATGAATGGTGCTGCATACAGGATATTTGTGAATTATGAGGCTACACAGTTCGTTCCATTATTCCATTTAAAACTCATTTTAACTGGCACCTGGCCCACAGACCCAGACACAATGGAAACATTTTATGGCACTGAACTTTGAGACACTGTTGAAATAGTGCTTTAGATTTTTATCAAATACAAAAGTTAATTATTTTCTAATAGAAAGCAAAGCCTCATTTACTAAAACTGTCTGCAGGATTTAATATGTGCTAATAGGCAACGTGTCTTAGAGAAAGAATGACAGTCAGCATTATCCATTATCAAACACTAACATTCTCACAAAGTAAGGCATGCAAAGCATTAGTATGTCTCTAGAGACATCAGCACCTTTCTTATCCACCATAATTCTCACAGACAGTATTACATTGTGGCAACAGCTCAAAATGGACTATTAGCAAAATGCTCTATTGTTATTTTAATCCATTTCTGCTCACTTTTCATTTTTCCCTTTGCTTGGCACTTTTTTTCCCTCCACTATCTCCCAATGTGCAGAGAACTTTTCAGGGAAAAGACTCCAATGGCCTTTTTATTTCTGAGGGAATATTAGTGGGACGGGAGTTTTTGCATCTTTATACATTTAACTACAAGCGATCCTCATGATGAACATCATGTTTTCCGTTTTTATTTTTCATCCCCCAATGTTACACACATTTAACAGTATTTATGTTTAAGTACCATTTCACTCTTAATAACTGTGGTTTATTTGCTGTCAGAGATTTTCTTATTCTTATTTGTTTCATGCCTGTATTGTATTGTATTGTATTGTATTGTATCTTTATTTAGGTAGGTTTGTTTTATTAGATTTTTGCATTTACAGGAAGAGTCATAAATTTTGAACAAAACCTGTTTTTGTAGTTATCGCCCCACACCACACACATATAATAAAATATAATTGAAGTTCATACTTTCAGCTTTATTTCAGAAAGTTTTACAGCTTCAACATTAACTGGCCAGGAAGTTTCATGGCCAGGTCTAGCCTGTGTTCTCTTGTTATTTCATGACAAAACAATCAGAATGTGTGAAGTCGATTCACAGTGTTGGATGTGTATTTTATAGCTTTTCGCTGTCGTTTTAAATATATGCTCCACAAGATGTTAGTCCAAGGGACAGAAGACGTCATGACATTGAAAAACAGAGCACACCTGTCACAGGGACAGCAAAACTTTTAGGAGTGGCAACATTAACAGTCTGATTCATTCGTAAAATATTACAGTGTTTATTTACAACAAGGTGCAAACCTCTGGTTACACTCAAGAACAGGAAGGCCAGGTCAGAAAACAAGAGCCTGTGCAACTTCTAAAAACAAAGAGAAATGGAAGAAACCAAGAAAACTGTTTGCCATAATGATGGGAAGAGAAAACTTTGGAAAAGGAAAGAAACAATTCATGATCCTAAACATACCACGTTATCTGTGAAACATGATGGAGGCAATGTGACAGGATGTGGCTGTACGGCTGCCAGGGGTACCGGGGCGTCACTGTTTATTGATGATGTGACTGTTGACAGAAGTAGCAGGAAGAAATGTGAAGTATATATTCTGTTCAGATTTTCGAATGCTTCAAAATTGATTAGATGGTACATAACAGTGCAAATGAAGTTTGTCGAGATAAAGAAAATTAGGACTCTTCAATGGCCAAGTCAGTCAAAGAATCAAAGTAATAAATACAGTCGTTATATGTAAAAATCAGATTAGTTTTTCCAATTAATTTATAGCCTCTTTTTAACTTCAATCACATCTTGATTGTTTGATAGAAAATCCCTTGGTACAGAATTACAGAAATGGTCTAATTTACAAACAAATTATGGCTCTAAATGTATAAAATTAGTATTTCTAATGTATTATAGTTAAAATATTCCACATATAAATGTTACAAATTAATATGTGGAATAAAAATCAACACCCACAATAACAGTTGTATTATTTAGTCATTTATTTTGAAGACATAAGTGCAGAAACATGGAAGAAGAGCATCACGTTTTTCATATAAATGTGATTAGATGTGACTGGAGAGGGTGGGTACAATTTTATGTTGCACTTGATTTTTACAGCACTAGCTACCTGCTGTAGCACCAATCACTAATTGTGTGGTGGAACAGACAGAACAGCAAGACTGCGTATGTGCACACAGGAGGAGAGAAGGCAGAGACAGAGAGACACTGGGAAGTGGAATATGGAAGTAAAATGTATCTATAACAGAAGGGGAGAATTGATTTACAGTTGGATTCATATGATAGCTTAGCCTACCTTAATTAGTTGACCTGTGTATTTATGTACTGCACTTTTTCTAACCCTCCCGTTCAGCTTTACACCACATACTTAAACTGACAATCAGACCATGGTTGTTGGTCGTTGTTTGCATTTCAATTGCAGAAGCATTTGCATTTCATCCAGAAGACCTGAGGGGGTTCATCCTCTGTCCACTTAAAGGAAGAGCCGTGATACCCTGAGTCTGTATTTGCAGCCTGTTGAATATGCAATCACGCCTTTGTTGGAAAGTGAAAAGGGCTGTGTGCTCAAGCTCTCAGCTCTCAGACTAAGTGATGGGGCAAATATAATCCAGCATGTATACACACACTCGCACTCACACACACTAACATACCTACATGGAAATGGCTCTGTATTGGCAAGCACAATTGCCAAGATACACAGGAACCAAATCGCTTATTCCCACTACGTTGTGTTTCTAATTTGTTGACTGTGGTGGCTAAATCCTCCTCAATGCCACTCTAACCAAGTAACATGCCTCTAGTATCAAATGAATGTGATTAGCTTTGAGACTTGCCAGATGTTTACAATCCCCGCTGACATATCCCACTGATCAGCAATAAAAGAAAAAAGGCATATCACTCAAGTTGTCTGCTTTGATGCAGGTTATACAAACAATTTCCCTTCCACAGTGGCCCGGCTTTCATCTTGACTCTGAGGAAACTAAATGTTTTGTCCTTTTTCCAAATTACCAGAAATACAGAGCGACCCTCCTTAGTTACTGATAGTGAACATACAGTACCTTTCCATGTTATCTGTAATACATGAGAGCTTTGTTCCAGAATATCTTGAACATCAAATTGAAAGGTCAGAAACATTGGTAGGAAGATACTGATCATCTGTGTAGAAACATGAACTTCTCTTATGACCTTTTACTTTGGATGATGCCCGAATGCCTCAGTGCATCCCTTATTTCCCCACTCTACTTCTAAAATAAATCCTAGCTCTTCTCATCATAAATCAAAATGTACTGTTTATGATTATCTCTAGATGCTTGCTGTGTTTATATTTATTTATTTAGCTATTTTATTTTTAGGGATCTCAGCGGCATGTGCTTGCATTGCTCGTAAAAATGCAGGCTCCAAGGTGTAGGAGTTAAGCTGTCCTCAGTAGATATCCAGTATTAGGGAGATAAATACCACAGTTGGCTTTCCAAAGAGTTCCAGAGATTTATGGATTGCAGCGGTGCAGCAGGCCTCTGGGAGGCAAATATTGTATGAAATCCTCCAAATGTTTTGGTAGTGTGCAACGCGCACACACACACGCACACACACACACACACACACAAACAGATATGCACACAAATAAGACTCCATCCATGCCTGAAAGGCTGAGCTGCAGCAGCTGCTACTATGGCCGTACACTCAAAAAAATGAATGAGGTGGATTGTTCAGTGTATATTAATTATTTATTTTCATTTTACTTAAAATATATGTTTTTGTTAAGTTAACATATGTTTTTCTAATCAAGTCTACGTAATTGTGTCTATTATTCAACGTACATAATACTAATGTGTTACTTGATCGCATAACATTTAAGTTAAGTCAATTAGGATCGATATACCTTGTATATCCACAAGGTGGCAGTAATGCAAAAACAGTTGTAATGAAACCGCGCAGAACAAGAAGGTTTCACGGCTTGTGCCTGCTCATGCGCAAGACTTCAAATTTAACTGAAAAAGGCTGTTTTGGCGCCAAGCTGCTGTTTCTTTGAGAGGTAAGACCACTTTTTTTCTTTGACTATGTTGTGTAGTATCTATATGTCCAGCATGGTTATATTTTGCGTTTGTCTTACAAGACATGTTATATCGTTTGCGTGCGCTTGTTTTACATTAGTTTTACTGGGTCCTGGACATGCTTATTTTGTGGACTGTGTAAGAAACATTTTTATTGTTTTTTGTTTTATTAAGGGATTAGCTACAGGGGTTCATGGGGTTATTCTTTCAAGGGGTTATTTTTCCATTTGCTTTCTTGGGATTCCTTTCTGTAATCCGAGAGTCGGAAATATCGAATAGGATAGCAAGGATAGCATAAAGTGACATTTAAAATCCAAAAAGTCAAGGGCGAAAGCCACTGTGACACCATTGTTCTGCTCTATCAGTAATCTGTATTATGTAAAAATGGTCTGTAAATACAGCATGTTTCCTAGCGGAGTTATACATATCAATGTAGTTATAAATTACAGTTTGTGAAAGTACACACTTAATTTTTTTAATAAAATTATTCAAGACATATGAGTGGACAGACAATGGAGGTCGACAGACCTGGTGATAATTGCTTCTATAGAAAGTTAGCACATGGCAGTGTCAATCTCTTGCTTTTCTTCTGAGTAGTATTTTATTTAGTTGTAATTCAAACAATAATTTGCTTCTTGAAATTAAGTAATGAATTTCTTGTTTTACTTTATAAATCTCAGATCCTGCCTTTACCTGCTCCCTCCTATACTGATGTGGTGTATGTGGTATTGCTGAGCTTGTATGTGGTATGTGAACTGTTATACTTTTAAAAACAAAACTGTTTTATAAGTTAAGTTTTCTTTTGTGACCCATCCCATGCCCCTGTTATTTCTTCTCCACATCTGAACCATGGTAAAGGTTGCAGTTCAAGGGCCTGAGGCATGAAATTCTTTTCAGATCAGCAGTGATCAATATTTTTTGGAACTTGATAAATAACAATAAAAGCTGTAATGGCTCCATTAGCATTTTGTGTAAATGTTTGTGTTAAAATTATAGCTTTAATGAGGTCTTACTACATTAGTTTTAGTTTGTATATGTGTACATATAGTATGTATATTTACAGTACAGTATGTTGTGTTTGTTGACATATTTTCAGGTGGAAGCAGAATATGTGAGGATTACTACTGCTGCACATGTTCCAAGGCTTTTTACACAACTTGACCAATACACTGACCAGCTCATAAAAGTCTTCAAGAAAAAAGGAGGCGTTGCAGGGAAGAAAATTAGACAAACTTTGGCCCCAGCCACACAGGTGCGTTATTCTGTTGGTAGCAAAATATTATGGCTAATAAGATCATTTTCAAATTTAAACAGCTAGTGTATGGTAGCTGCACAGTGCACTTACATTTATATTAAGCAAGACAAAGTTTGGTACTCAAAACGTTGGAAAATTTAAATTACCTAAACATATGTAAAATCTGATCCCTTGATTTAGGTTAAACCAGAAGTGAATGTTTTTATGTTATGTTTTGAATGCAAAAAAGATGATGTATTAGTTTGTCTTTACCTCCATTATGGACATATATAATGTGGTGGAAACCCTGCCCAACAGGTTAACTATTCATGTCCATGCGATGATTAGTTGGTCTTGTGTACATGTCTATCTGTGCAGTGGATATGTCATTCATTTTGCGTATAATGTGAGTTTCTGTCATCCTAAAGTATATCTGTTTTCTCTTCCTGTATCTCTGCCACTCTCTACAGAAGGAAAGTATTGAAAAGGGGAGGGAGTGTGCCCTCAGGGCACTACCTTTTTACCTGAATGAAGACCCAAGCATCCTCTTCAAAGAATAATTGGTTGGTAATTTTAGTTTAGTTTTTTATCTGTATTAAACCAAATTTTGAATAACTAATGTTGTTGCATGTTGTTGTTGTTGTAATTTGCATGGAACCTGTTTAAATGTTTTGGGAAATCTTCTTGTATACCCAAACTATTTATATTTATCGTTGAATCTGTAGTCTGAAATAGTGGCACACTGGGGTGCATGTTCCTAATATTGTGTTTACGTCATTAAAGGGTAGCTTTGGCCCTTTTTCTTTCTTTTTTTAAACTGGATGCCATTTTCTATGTTTTTGTGTCTAAGCTACAGCTGTTCAGAGGGAGCTGGAACAAATTACCCTTGCTATCTTTACCATCGAAAGAGCTGATGCCAGCACTCCTCCAGCCGATGTGGGTATAACCATCTAGTGTGTCCTGCATGACCTGGAAGACCTGGCCTCTGCATGTGCACTCTTAATGGGTGGGATATATGCACTGAATCTCAGTTAACCTCAAGACTGAAAGCTTTCTTTGAAGTACTTCAGAAGCTCTTCCTTCATCTGTATGTCAGCATACTCTTGACCAAGGTACAGTTGCTCAAGAATACACTGAATGAATAAGCCAACCTTTAATTTGGATGATGAATGTTCTGTCAGATGGACAGAAGTTTTTCGGAGGCTGAATGGGAATAAAATGGTAATTTGTAAATGACAGATAACGGGAAAATTACATTTAAGAGAAATTTAGAACATTTTGAAAAGTTTGTAAACTACTACAATTTGAGAGATTTTACTGTTGTGGGGGGCTAGTAAGAGACAATCAAAAGTATTGAGATTTAAAGGATTTAATTGAGAGATGATACTGCACCAGAAATGTTGAAGGGTGGTGTGTATATTAGCGTTCAAGGCATATTGTTATGAGGTGGAAATATGTTCATATTCAGTTTGTGTTACATTGTGTGCATTGTAAAGGTAATTGCAATACATACTAAAATAAGGGTAAGTTAGGAGGTTGATCTGATATCCTCGTGTTGGTGTTGTTCCCAGATCATCATACTAAATGTTGTTCCAGGATCAACATTGCAAGTGACCAATCAGAATGTTGTGACGTCATACTTTTGCGACTTCGGGAAAACCGGCGTAAAACAAAAAACTGTACTTAAGCTGCGTGAAACCGCCTCTGTCCGCCGATCAACTGACCCTAACCCTAACCGTAACCTTTAATAAACAGTAAGCAGAATTGATATTGTCCTTGCAACATTGGAATTTCATAAATGCACGAATGGCTTGGCGCGCAAAAGAATAACGTCACAACAATGTGACAACATTTTCATGATGGTCTGGGAACAACACCAACACGAGGATATCAGATCATCCAAGTTGGGAATGCAGGATGAATGTATATTTTGTGGACTTTTAAAGACGAACAATTGTTTCCATGTTAAAATGTTTACATCTGAAGTTTTTTGCCCAAACACTAGTAAAATAAATGTTGACAGTGGCAAGTGTTAAATGGTTACTGCTGTGCTGTTGCAAAAAAACTGAACGCTGACAAGCTGTTTTATTGTTAGACCATAATGTTGGCATGTTTTGTTAAAGTTTTATTTGGGATGGTGATGTAATTTTCTTTGATTGCTAATATCAGTGGACTATTTATTATTATTATTATGATTATTATTATTATTATTATTATTATTATTATTATTATTATTATTGTTGTTGTTACATAAATTTTTTTTAAATTGTGGCTGTTGAGGTGGACACTTCACTTTGCATTGTTAAAGGAAAGCACTTCATTGGCATTGTGTTACTGGACTGACCCTAAGCAATCATTGCAAATAGCAACTTTGCTATCCATTTTAGACACTAAAAGAAAAAAACACTCACAGACCTTACTAGCATCACATGTGCATAACTCAAGTGTCATCTTATCAATGTGTTATGTGATCTTCAATGCGTTTTTTTTTCTCTCTTCTATTTCTGGTAGATACAGACATTTAATTTAAAGTCTTGATGTTGCATCTGTCTACATACTGTTAATTACTAACCCTAATGAGCTGTTGTGTTTTATTTTGGACTGGGTTTACACAAATGCTCACTGAATGTGTTGGCAATAAAAGAAATTTTAAAAAATAAGTTGGATGTACTTAATTCATTTGTGTGGAACCTGTTGACAAAATAGATTTATGTAAAACTAATTAATAAAGCACAAGGTGGCTGAAAATATAATATTTGAATTAATCTAACTTAAATTTAACATTTTACTGCCACAAATAAGAAATGTGTTGAAGTAACTAATCTAAACTATCTAACCTGAAAATATATCATCTTTGTTCATACAACATAACTTGATTTAGTTAGTCTTAAATATGTCTTGTTAATCTTAAGTAGTTTTTTTTTAATTAGATGAACTAAAGATTTTTGCTTTAAACTAACATAATTCAATTTCGTGGAACCTGTTGACAAAATAATTTTAATTAAAGTCAACGTTTCATTTTTTTGAGTGTAGTGTAAGAAACATTGCTGCATTGCTGAGGTCAGAACATAATTCATCGAGGAAAACAAACAAAAGAGAAAATGGGTGGGGCAGAGTGTGTATATGTGTGTATATGGGGGGTCTAAGGCGCAACAGCCAAGAGTGTTGCATCATCCCATTAATTACTCCCACTGCAGTAGAGTGTACATGACCCACATGCTCAGAAAGATAAGCAGGGCTGTAAAGAAACATGGTGGAAAAAGGAAATAACAGGACAATGCTTCGGTCATATCAGCCCTTTACTGTCTTTAAGTCTTGTTTGTCTCTTGTGACAAACTTGACAGCAAATACCACTAAGTAGCTAAACACAAAATAAAGCAGGTGGCAGTTTGGGGTTTTGGTGGAGGAGGAGGAGTAGAAAATGGCCCTCTGAGAGGCACCCCAGTGCCTGGAGAAGGCCAGTTAGTGGGAAGGGCCATGACGGATAAGTCTGATCCTTTGTAGAGGCAGTATTGATCCAGCAAAAGCTCACTACATGAATCAAGTATGAGTTCTGTGCTGTTAGTTCCTTTACTTTGTGGATGGTTGTGCTCCAGTGCGATAGAAACACGCACACTTTTTTCATGTAGCACAAAGCGGACAAGCCGGTGATTAAACACAATCAGGCTGAAGGTTGCTGCCAATAAAGTTAGAACACGGACTATAAATTCATGAGATCTGAATATGGAGGTTTTATTCTGAGGTTTACTGTCATTTGGCGGTCTACAGCCGGTTCCACAAAGCAAAACACTTATTCTGATTGCTATTGATTTTTTTTTTTTTTTTTGATCACCAGCGCATAAATTCAAGTATTTTAAGTGTTCGGTTTTCAAAAAAAAAAAGAAAGAAAAAACTTAATGAGCTAAACTCCAGGCTTCTCATTTCAAGCTTCCGATATGCACTCATGTGTTGCAGTAAGAAATTAAAGCACAGTAGCAGTTACGGTCCCATTCTGCCTTTGACTCCTCTCTGCTAATTGCTATGCCAGTCAGTGACAGGTCGTTCATGTTTCACCCACGTCTTCAACAACAGCTAGCCTTTCTCTTGTTCTCTTTCTTTCTCAGAGGTATTTCCAGAAGGTTTAGATGGACAGCGTCCATGCCTTTTTTGTCTTTTATGTCATTAGAAAGGGACAACCTGTACCGGTCCTTCTGGATCTAACAGATTCCTGCTGAGCACAGGGTGCTAATGACACACATGCAGACACACTCTCACATACACACAGACACACACGCCTCCAGAGGATAGGATCTCCAAGAAGCAACACAGCCTATTTCACTGCAAATTAGGTTAATCACGCTCCAGAGAGGCCCAGTTAATAACCCTCATAGAGGCTATTAAGATGGCACCTAAATCATAGGAATATCTGAATATCTGATGGCCCCTAACACAGTAATGCCATGTTTAGCCCTGGAGTTCTTAGTAGGGCTCGCTAAGAGAACCACGGCTTGTCATATAACCAGCTGCAGACTGATGATGCTGTGCAACTTTTTCTCATTGGGGAAGAAAAAAACACCTCACTGCAAACTGTAATACATGAGGAACCCTTCTCATTAAGCCAGTGATATTAATCAGAATTAGACTATTATAACAGTTTTCTTTTTCACACAGGAGTAACTCGCAAAATACCAAAGAAATTATCACCAGGTGTAGCAATATTAGGCAGCTCACAGCTCATTAAAACCACTCTCTTTTCTTTTTTAGTGCATATCTGAATCACTACTGTCAAATTCACTCGATGTATCACTCTTGATCACTCAATGTATCCCTATTGAGCAGAAAAGGCTAAACATACAAAGACACAGCCATCTATGCTTTACAATCCTCTGCCAGGCAAGTGAAACAAGACAAATAAAGCCTTCGTAAAAGGCAACTGGTGTCTCAGTCAGCAACGCTTTTTACTGCCGCAGTGTGCCGAGGCTTGATAGCATCTCCGGTGCCTCAGCTGTACAAGAGCTCGCCATGGGGGACCTGAAACTGTGTGACATCCATGAAAGGCTCAGCCCAGAGATCCCGAGTGTGTGAGAGCCGAATCCCCGCTGGTTAACCCTCGAGTCAGATGCTCTCTGGTTCAAGCTCGTTATAACGCTGCAAATTACCAGCATTTAGCTTTGACTGGAAGATTTCACACATCACAGACAGTGAAGCATGTCGCAGGTCATGAGCGTTCATTGTTATCCATTTACGAGAAAAACTGAATGCACACCAACAAACAGCTGGTTTACAATTTGGGATGGCTACTTTAATAAGAACCCAATTACAATTCGTTCCCATGTTATCATCACATCTTTACAGTCTTTTTAGTAAGTCTATAAATAATAGTGATAATCACTAAAGCCCAGCCTTAGCCCACAGGCTGTCTTAATGAGACGGTTTGCCCAGAACGATGAGTAACTACTGTAGTCATCTCTAGAAGCCTTGTTTTTTAAAATTGTATCTGTAACTCTCCATCAGCCCTTTTTTTTCTCCTGGTCTACTGAAGCCAGTGCGGTTGCATTTACGCCCACATATTTACTTTCTGTAGGTGGTTTGTTCTTTGTCTCTTCCAACAGGTACAGTGGCTTTCTCTGTACACATTCAGTTCATCCATCCTTTTTTTTTTTTCAAACAAAGGAAAGTAAATATTTTCACCACCCATACTGCAGGGAAGAAAATCACTCCAGTAAAAGCCCCGCCACCAACTGCTGCCATCAATGTCTGATAATCAGCGACAGCATTGCAAAACTTTAGACTGTGGCGGGGTTTCTCGTGCAGAGTAACCGTGGGCACCTCATGAAGATGCTTCGGCTACAGCTACTGAACTACCGAGAGCATTTTAATATTCTTTAACGAGTTTTGATAATTGGGGTTTAACTTAAAGGAAAATGGACAGATCTCTGTCACATAAACAACTTTATTGCCTTTAATGCATGTGCACAGATTCCTGTGTGCACAATAACTTCTGCGCCCTGAAAAGGCCCAAGCCAGTAAAAATACCTGACTACAAAACAGGGTACATTACTGCTAATAACAAGCGACTTCAGTCCATAACAGCGGCTGCAGATCGTCCAATGTCCCATTTGGACATTCCAGTTTGTGTGAGCAAGTGACAAGGAAATTCCCGATGATGGAAATTGGTTTCTCTGTGCCCCTTGCCGATCCATCTAAAGGCATGGCATTTCATTTCATCATCTCGCACAACTGCACTGTCTAAGACGTGCATTGCCATTACCCTGCGAGGTCAGCCCTAAAGATGTACAGCGTGTGTCATGCATAACAAATGTACGGCTGCAACTGGGCAGGAATATGAGCTGCCGGTGGGAATGGGATCCAGCAGGTGGCAAGAAAACAGACTTGGTCTCATTTTGCAGTGTGTCATTACCTATAAACCCACTTTGGGGCAAATGAATGATCTCACTTAGGGCTTTTGTTTGGACTTCCTCACTCATCAGTTGAAGTCTGAAGCCTACTTTCTATATCTTCACTTTAGGGATGTAGTTCTATCATATCTATCATTTAAAAAAAACTATTTCTCAGGCAAAAAGACTTTAATGTAGCCTAAAAAGATAAGGGATGTGTTGTTCAGTGTGATCAAGCTGACCCCTGCGCACAGATATTTTGTATGCCATCCTCTCCTTGTGCTTGGATACGCACTCATCAGAACACCAAGTGCTTTAATATTTTGGGGGCAAAGCTTCTCAGTTTTATTTATTTCATCATTTTACCTTCACTTTATGCCAACGAATTGCACGTGGAGCTCACCTGGACGCGTTTATTCTCACAAGTGGGGAGGAATTGACAGACCTAACCTTGAGACTGTGCACGCGCGCGCGTGTCTACACACGTGTCGCTTTGAGCACGCGTCTGTTATCTGCGAATGTATGTGCGTCGCTTGCGCCGTACTGTTGGCGACCCCCAGCGTACAGGATGTGAAATTTTCCAATTATTTTCTTCCTTAAAATTTTTTTTAAAAATCACACAACATATCTATAGAAAGCCTGTACCCGGATATTCTTTATTACCAACGCTAAAGCAGCTAATATGTGTATAACTCTAACACAGCGGCAGCCATAGCCTCGCGCTTTTCACAGTCCAATTGATCTATGTTATTCGTTCATCAATTCCAGCAGACTCTAATAACTTGCAGTGGCGTAGATTTAAAAGAAAAAATTGAGACACGCTGTTGAAGAGAAATTACAATGCACAATCACAGTCTACATTTCCCCCCTTAATCATTCAAGAATTTAAGTACAAAGTAATTACTGAACAAAATAATTTGTGCCTTACCTGCGCGCGACACTCCGTTTTATCCACATTTTTTTCTCTCTCTCTCTCGACTGTCGAAAACCGACTCAGTCCTCCAGGTATCCTCCCATTTGGATGGGTTTTTCCACCAAAGTCGGCAATTGCTGATGAGAAGAAAGCACTCAAGTTACGGACCTTACTCCAGCTGTCAACGCAAACATCATTTAAGCCATATCCTTCTACGTTGCGCACATCAAATTCCTCCCAAAAAAAAGGACAGGGGGGGGAAGGAGGAAAAAAACACTGCCGAAAAAAACAAACAAAAAAAATTCCACTAAAAATACTAGAACAATTGTCGGGTCTCTTTGAAGTTGTCCGTCAGTTCTTCTGTTGGCGATGATTTGCTCTCCCTGCTCACCAGCCGAGAGGAGAGAGAGGGGGTAGGCGCGTGCAGGCGGACAGGTGAGCGGGAAACCGAAAGAGGTACCCTCAAACTTTGCCTTCACGCAAATCGTTCATTTTTCAGTCGCCCCAGCAGAAAAGGCAAAGATGCAAGATGCCGAGAGCCGAAATCGGGGCATGCAGTTGGCATCCTCATTGCTGAAATGACGCCGTCACTTCTCCTACATTGCTGAACGGCAGATGAACGTCCAAAAAAGAAAATTGGAAAAAAAATGGGGGGCGGAAAATGAGAATGTTCAGTTCTCTGAAGCAGGGAGGATTCAAGTCACCAGAGGCAGGGGATCTTCATTATCTGTTGACATGTCTGTGGAGGGGGGTGGTTGAGAGGTTAGATAAAGTAAAATAAATGAAAGTAAAATGAAATAAGGTGCAACTGAAAAGAAAAAGGAAGAGGGGAAGCGGCGGAGGAAAATCCTGGAGGCTGAGGGTTGTTTCAGAGGAGTTGGAGAGAGTGGCTGTGAGGGCTTGTCATTACAGCGGAGAGGAGACCGGCACGTCTCCTCCTGCTGCTCCTCTTCTCTCAGACTGACGAACGATCTGCCTGCTGAGCCCCACGCTGCCGTGACGTCACTTTAAAGCCAAATATGTCATGTGCTGGAGTGTCTCACGTCATATGGGTGCACATTCATGACTGCAAGACTGGGTATGACAAATCCAGCAGAGTACAGAAGTGTGCAGAGCTGCACACTATGGTTGGAAGACCATATAACAGTGAGACCATTACGTATCTGCACTTTTGTAGCCAGCTAAGGGAATCGCTGTGCCAAATAACCTTGTAGCCTGTAAGATAGCATATCATAAAATAATTTATATTTTATATGATATGAGACACAAAATAGAAACGACCCAGTTCATTTAGCCTGGGTGTTGCTATGTTCTGCCAGGCAGATCGACAACACTGCTCAATATCAGCTTGCTCACAAACTGCTTGTTATTCTTGTTATTTCTTTTTTTTAAGCCATAGACTGTATATAAAAGATGGACACAACAAGGACATCAATAAGCATAAATGCGTCTGGCTGCAAAAGGAGGTTGTCAAAATCATCCTCTCTCCTCTAATCTTCCTCCTATACTACTGATCAGAATTTAATCAAACTTACACAATGATTATCTAATGAGTAGCCATCTGAATTGTCAAGGTCAAAATCATATTTATTGTTTTATGGGGAATTTTACAAGACTTGCTACTCCCTTCAGAATAGATTTTACTCTGAAAAGAGATTTTATTGAAACTTATACACGATGATTGCCTAATGGGTCTTCACCCCAACTGTGTTCGTGTTCAACGTCGCATTTGTTGTTTTTTTATAGCAATAACCTGTGAATTGTGATGGAGCGGGATTGCTGATTTAATCACATATACTCTTCAGCATCTGGTTTCAAAAAGCTGAAATAGATGGCATCACAGTAACTAGATACATTTTTTATATACAGTCTTTCGTTGAAGCCGCAAAACTTGTTGTTCAGTTTAGATAAGAAGTTGTTTTTTTCTTATTTGCTTTATAAATTTTTGAAGCAATATTTTTGGATTAAAAAATCTCTGGGAAATAAATAAAAATGATTAATAAATATGTAGCCAATCAATGACACAGTCTACTACAGCACATGTAAGGTATAATACAACAATACATTGACCTGTGGCTGAAGACATTTTATGCATGTCTAACACAGTGTGATAATAAATTAGCCAAGGTAATATTGGCCTATATGATACATACTGCAATTGTATTACAGGGTCTATTGCTGAACTGGCTCTAGACTCTGCGAATGCTCTAATGATCCAGTCCAACCACAAAGGAGTGCCCGGAAAATTAAAAAGAGTCCCTTTTTTTGTTCAAAAGTCCAATTCTGAAGCAACAGCCCAATATGAAACATTAACATTTTAACCAGAGGCACGGACAAGCCCATTTGTGAAGTAATCAAAAAATGGAAAATTGAAGTTACAAACCTTTTTCATTTGATTTATTTTGATGGTGTAAATTGACCAAAGAACTGGAACGAATAATGGAACAAATAATGGAATGAATGAATAATGGAACCACTTTCTTACTTTTGTAAGAAAGTGGTATTAAGCAAACTAGAACTTGCCTGACTGAAATACGTTTTTATACCATTATTCATAATTTGTATTCCACCTCCCATCCTTTTTCAGTTTGGTGTTGGCTCATACTTCCTATATTCCTTGGTACAGGTGTCATGATCCAGAATGTGTAGTTCCTGTTGATGCCACTAGGACATGGTCCTTCACCAGAGAACCAGTTTCTGTTTATGGAAAGCATGGCAACAGCAGGCAATGAGCAGGAATTATTTCACTGTATGCCAAAGAAGTAAGACTTTAAGGGTCCCTTACTCTGTAACACGTGAGTAGAGTTACAGTTAAGTCTGTAACACTTTAACTGTTTTAAAAGGCTCAAAAGAGACAGAAAAAAGACACATTTCTGTATTCTGTTAGATCAGTTTGTCATTAGAAATGTGGGATCTCAACCATCATTCAATGTAATCAAATTGATTATCATGTGTTTTTCACCTGTGATTGATGTTGTCAGTGCTTTTCACACTCCCTGCCCCACAAGTCAAAAAGGTCCATAGTGTACAATACACAGTATAAACAGAGATAGCTACAATGAGATGTCAGATATCAGGAAGTGCTCTGAACATCAGGATCAATCACATCACCTGAGCTTTGGAATAGCTCCACAATCTGAGGTTAAATGTTCTTTCCTTGTAACATTTGCTAGCTGAGTGCTGAAGCTAAAGCGACAGGTATTCTCTAGTGAGGGGCTTATATCTACCATCGTTCCCATATGACACGAATGCAGCATTAAACTGTCAACCTGGGGGCTTTTTGCACACCTGTACTACAAGATATCAGCGGTAGGCAAAATCCAATTTCATTAGAATCATTGTGCTCATGTGACCGCACAGCGAGATAGGTGAAAATATTACCCATGACAAGACCAGCTCTTGCGTGAGAGAAAGAGGGGATGTGCCGGCCTTTCTTGTACACCTCGGGGTCAACGTGTCAAACTGGTGAACGCATCACACCTGTTTTTTAGCCTTTGCAGCCGCTCTAGAATTTCCTGGAAAAGAAGAAAAAAGCATGTATAGCCATTGTATTTACTGAATTTAAATTTGCTTTTCACTCCAATTCTCAGTGTCTAAACCCGAGGCCGACTTTGCCTCTGGCGTGCCTGTCTGGGGTTGCCTTGATCAGCATCTAGTCATGAAGAAAGTCACTCATCTCCCAATCAGAACTGCAGCTGTTTCAGAACAGTGACTGCTCTATACGCGAAGATGCGACTTTCCTCCCCCACTAATTGTTGCTATAAAGCACACTTCTGTCAAATACCCTCATTACTCCATTACTGTGTATACGTACGTACTGATCCAAGTGGGTATCTCTGTCTGAGGAAGCGGTCCGTGGCTCCGCAGCAGATGGAAGCTGTCATCACTCTTTTTCTCTCTGTCACTTCCTCCATCTCATCCCTTCTCATTCACACTCCATATCCCACACTCGCTGTTTCTGCATGCCGTCTTCCTCCCTTTCCCGTTTGTGTGCGCACTCGCACGTGCCTTTGCCTTTGTTACTTCATGCGAGCAGCATATGTGCAGTAAAGTGTTAACGGGCTTATTTTGCCTCCGAGATAAGAGTCACAGGTTGTCATATATAAGGCTGCGGGTGGCTTGGGCTCACATGGACCTAAACGCAGCATACTAAACATCTGTTGTGTAAGCCATTAACACCCCGCCAAGAGAGTGCGAATTAAAAGGAAGAGGGATTTGGGTATTGCTGTGTGTCTGCTAAGCTGGACTGAGTCACTCTGAACAGCAGTTGTGGGTACAGTTAAGTGTGCAAGGGTGAAATTGATGCTGCAGAAGTTTAAAGCTGTGGTGTTGCTGGGGGTACACGGAGAGAACATACAGTCTCTCCCTGAGGAAGAGGCCATTTATATCTCTTGTGTCTTCTCTCTCCTGTGCCCCCCCCCATACCTTTCTGCGGGTATTTCCGACTCATGTCTCTGATCTGTTACTGGCCTCAGCAACCTGGTGAGTATTTGTTGTTTGTTGCTTCTCAGTGCTCTTCTTTGCGCTCTTCACTCTTCCCTCACCCCAACCGGTTGAGGCAGATGGCCGCCCTCCCCGAGTCTGATTCTGCCTGAGGTTTCTTCCTGTTAAAAGGGAGTTGTTGTTTTTTTTACTCCCTACTGCTGCCAAGTCCTTGCTCAAAGGGAATTGTTTGGTTTCTCTCTATAATATTGTGAAGGCTTGTCCTTACTGTGCAAAGCGCCTTGAGACGACTTGAGCCAGATCTGTTGTGATTTGGTGCTATACAAATAAAACTGAATTGAACTGCCCAAGGCTTTAATCTAAAGTGAAATCTTAAGAGGTTTATACAAACGGCCACAAGCACAGATGTTTAAGAGAATACGAAAAGAGCTTGTAAGCACACAGATGGATTTGGTTTTCCAGTGAACGATAATAATTATGTACAGTTTATTTATAATGTATTAGTTAACTCGCTCTGTCTTTAATAGAAGTTTCCTGTGACTGGAAGCAGAAGCGGAAAGCGCACAGAGGCTCACAAAGTGAAGTAGACCTATTGTGCTGTCTCCGTATTTTTATTCTTGGACTCCACTGGAATAATTTTACATGACTCATAGTTCAAACTAATCCTCATTTATCTTACGCCGGGTGCTCAGTTAATACCCTGTCTGAAACAAGTGTCTCAATTTAAAGCTACAGTCTCTGTAGGCTTTCTTCTGATTGGTTGCCCCTCACTTGTTTTTTCACAAACTGAATCTGGTGCTGCAGGGGACGGCGTCCTCTACTTTCCAAACTGTAAACTTACTAAAAGAAAAAAACAAATCCAAGTATGAAGCAGAGCTCACAAACATCAGTTTACAAAGATTAAAGCAAGACAACCGTCTTCAGTAAACGTTACACTTATTTCACTTATTTCACTTATTTCTCACAATGAGCTTTTCAAAAATGAGTTGTATGAAACTGTGTCTGTATACAGGATTTAAATATACTATTAAAGGATGCACATGCAGGGAAATGTGATGAAACTCCTTCTGCTATGAGGAAACATGAAATAGTGAGTAAAATGCTATTCGGCTCTGGCTAAAAGACTCTGTTCCACAAGTTAGTCAAATTAAAAGCTTAACTATATTGTAAGTGTGCACACTTTTCTTCCTTCCTTAAACAGGGAAATATTCATCATTCAGTCATCATTAGTCATTTTGGTTTGATTATCAGTACAAAGCAAACATTTCAGCGATATGTTAATTACAGCTCGTATCTCTGATGCTCCACCACTGCCCCTTAAATCAGGAAGTCAAATAACTTTAACTCTCCCTCACAAATCGAAACCCCTATCCAGAGTCCGAAAACCTGCTGAGTAATCTGTTTCAGAGCTTGACCACATGGAGCAAATCCCCTCTCATCAGCATGAGTTATTGTGAGTGACTGTCAGCCAGTAAACTTTACTAGTTTTTGTT